TCCTCCTCCCCCTCCTCCTCCTCCTCCTCCTCTTCTTCTTCCTCTTCCTCCTCCTCCTCCTTCTCCTCCTCCTCTTTCCAAAGCCCCACTCCCTTCTGGCACTAGACATTTGGATAATTACATGTCTGCAAGAAAACCACCAAGCTCATGTTGAAGAAATGATACCCACGAATAAAAACCCACACGAGCTGTTAAGAAAATCAAGGACTCTTGTTTCTTTTCGGTGTTTCCTGGAACCACCTGGGTCCTGGAATTCGGAGAATTAGCCCAGTAGAGAAAGCAGAGGAAATTTCTCTTTAAATTCCAAGTTGGATCGGATGATCTTTCACTCATTACCGTGTTGTGCTTCATTTATTTATTTATTTCCTTTTTTTTGTCATTTTGCAGAGGTTACAAGAACGTGAAAAAGCAGCCGACGGGACTGAGCAAAGAGGTACCTTATCGATTTTTAGAATAACAGAGCTGGGAAATAAGGGAAGGGACCCTGAAGGTCTTCTAGTCCAACCCCCTGTTCTAGCAGGAACACTTATGTCATTCCAGACAAATGGCTGCCCCTTCTCTTCTTAAATGTGATTTTAGCGCACGGTATCCTAGGTTTCAATAATAAACAACCACAGAATAAAATAAGGTCGTGAATTACTTCACTTGGCTGTTTCGTCAGAAGTCAGTTATTAATTTCAAAGTATTTCAGTGCTTTTAGTAAGAGGCTCACAATTGGATCTGCTTGGATTTCTGTCTTTTATAAATTTAATCTTTTAACCCGGATAGAAAGCACGTCGTCGCTTTGGCCCAAGGGGAAAAAAAAGTGCAAATGTTGCTTTAAAGATGGCACAGGCAGTCCTCGACTTACGACCACAGTTGCTGAGGCATTTGTTAAGTGAATTTTGCCCCATTTTACGACCTCCTTTCCACAGTTGTTAAGTGAATCCCTGCAGTTGTTAAGTGAGTAACACGTTTGTTAAACGAATCTGTCTTCCTCGTTGCTTATCAGAAGGTCGCAATACGAGAGTCATGTTACCCCGGGAACACTGCGACTGTCATAAATGTGAGTCGGTTCCCAAGCGTCCGAATTTTGATCACGTGACCCCGGGGATGCCACAGAGGGTCGTAAGTATGAGGAACGGTCCCAACTCCCTTTTTTCCAGTGCTGTCGTAGCCTCAGTCGCTAAATGAACTGGTTGTAAGTCGAGGACTACCTACCATCGCCTATGGCGGTTTAGCGGCCTCATGCCTGCCTGCAATTGTTCCCCCAGGAGCTCGCCGAAGTCTGCAAACGCAACGAAGGAGAGGCTGATGAGAAGAGCGTGGATCGCCTCATGGGGCTGGGCAGCTCATGGTAAGCGTGGCTCGAGATAGCGTGGCCTAGTGGCTAGTAGCCTGCTGGACGAGGACCCTGGCTGTACTCAGCCCAAGGAAGTTTGGGACAGTCCCACCCAGCCTCTAGGCCCCAAGGCCAGGCTGGTGTAGACTACTGTTTCTTGCCCCTCACCTGTGTGGACTTCAGCTCCCAGAATTCTCCACTCCGCTGACTGGGGAATTCTGGGGGTTGAAGTTCAGATGTCTTTCCACTGCTAAGGTTGATAGGCTGGATCCATTACCCACAGACCAATAATAAAACACAGCGTTGGAGCAGTCTGGAGGTTTTTCAACATACAGCATTGCTTTTGAGCTGGGGTTGGACTAGAAGATCTCCGAGGTCCCTTCCGACTCCTTCCACTATTCTTGGACTTCAGGAATACAAATAATCATCTTTTACTTTTCTGTATCCTGTTCAGAGGTGGATTTATAAGCTGTACAGATGGCAGATAGATAACTCAACAAGACGTTCATAACGAAGAACATTTATCGGTTCATCAGGTATCCCCATGACTCACATTTGTGACAAAGTTCTTCTTTAATGACCAATCCTTTGTATATCTGCCTTGTAGGTAAAAGATGGTTATCTCCTAACCCATCTCATAGTGATAGAAAGCAGCTGCCATGAGTTAGGGAGTTCAGGCGAAAGTGAGGAAAACCTCCCCCACCCTTGGAGGGTCAATTTAGTGACCAATCGGGATTACAGATGTGGTCACGTGACATGAACTACATTTCCCAGGATACTTTTAACTCCATTTACCATGATGCATTGCCTTAAGGGGACAGCCCATAGTTCCTAAGTAACTATCCAATTCCCATAGACTAGCTGGGACAGCACCACGTCCACGTGTCTTAAAGTTGTGTGAAATGAAGAAACGCTGGTGTAGGTCGTAAGGAGGATGGCCGTCAGAGAAATAGGGCAGATTCCACTACCACTACGATGGTTATGAAAGATCTGCACGAAAGCCCCTAAGCTCAAAGACCACCAAGGGCCCAAATCCACCACCGCTCCTCTTTCTCTTCCTCTCCAGAAATCCCCCTTCCCTTCTAGCACTGATGATATTCCCTAGTTGGGTCATGAGATGTCTGCAAGAAAGCCACCCCATGCACCGACAACCCCACCTACTGCCTCTACCTCGTGCTCCTCCTCCTCCTCTCTACAAACCCCACTCCTTCTGGCACTGATGGCGTTGCCTAGTTGGGTCAT